ACAGATACAGATACAGATACAGATACAGATACAGATACAGATACAGATACAGATACAGATATACACAGATAGATACATATTTACAGACCTTTACCTACATTATTACTTACATATTTAGCTACAGTTAGCAACTGGTTTCTGAGCCTAACTTCACTTATTTAACTTGTAATTCATTCGCTTTATCTGCAATTCAACATAAAATTTCATGGCTAACGCACTTTGTATGCCTCCACACGCCAATTGAATGCAGATTTAAGTGAAATATTGCCAAAATAAATTGTAAATCCCGCAACTTCAAACTTAAAATATACAACGCGTCTCAGTCGATGTCTTCATCGTCATCATCATTATCATCATCGCCGCTGTTGTTGTTGCTGTCATCCTGCTCAGCGTCTTTGCGTCTTTGCGCGCGCCCTCATTATAAAGCACAAATCATGCATTGCGTTTACTTAACGGTGCTCGAGCAAACCAAAAAGTAAATAAAGCTGACAAATTTATTGTCGCCGACGACATAAATCGGTATCGCAGCTGACCCACAATTTGCGGCTGCCAAGTTTTCAAAATGTGTCAGCGTCAAGCAAATTTGCCAAAAATCGTGCTGTAATTGACATATATATATGTACATACATATAGACATTCGTTCGCATTATACAGTTTGTCATGCATATATATACACACACACACACGCATACGCATGCTTACATGTGTCTGGTGTCGTTCGCATTCTCATTATGCATGCGCTGGCAAAACAAAAGACTGAAGTAACGAACTTGCCGCCAAACGAAGTTCATGTGAAATAGATAATGAATATCGCGCTCGATTTGGATTAGAGTTTGATTTATGTATATATCCGAAATAGTTTGTATTCAATTATTGATTTTTAACTACATGAATTGAGCATTTGCTTTTATTTATTTGCATTTTCTGTTCATGATAATTAAATGTGAATCATGCTGCATTTATTTAGAGCAAACACTTTTGCTTGAATATATATTCAATGTATTCATTCATAAAAAAAAATAAGGTTTTATGAGATTTGTATTTATTATATAATTTAAAATTGATAATTTAAAAAATATGCATATTTGTTGTTTATTTTACTTTAATTTAATTATATTTATTTTATGGCAATATTTTAAATCAAAATAAATTGCATAGATATTATATATGAATTTTTTAAATGCTTTCATTTTTATTTTAATTTCTTAGAAATCTTTTAATTACGTCTTCTCACATATTTAAGAACCTTTCATCAAAGCACATACTCAAATTAATTTCTTTTAATTTTGTTTCCTCATGAATCACTGTGCCTCTAGCTTTCTGTTTATCTAGATAAACATAAACATTTTATATTAGGTTAAAGTTACATAAATTTTAATGCCTCTAGATTGTACCTGTTCTATTTTTCGCCATCACCCAAACAAAAAAAAAAAAGCTCTTTTGATCCGACCGCATTAATCTCAGGTCCAGCCTTAACTAGATTACCTCTAATTGATAAGCTTATGGAATGTTAATGCGCTGCTAAGTGTGCTCATTTATTTGAAGCCAAATCTACGCTCGTTTTATTTCTTCCACTTGATTTATTTTTGCAGATATTCCCAGTTGGATTTTTCTTCGTTTTTCGTTTTTTCTTAATTTGCATCCATCAAATAGGTTTTTGGGGCATTTCTCTTTTGTATGCTAACTTGATATTTATATATGGGAATTGGTTTCTTATTTAATTCTGGCTGCGCTGTCCGCTAATAAGCTGCTAAATGCTTGAAAACAAAAATTTCACTTTTTCGGGTTGTGGTTTGAGGCTGTCGCTCCCACTGCTGCTAAAAAACAAAATGCGAACCGGTTAAATTGCCAAAAAAAAAAAAAAACAAAAGCAAAACAAAACAAATTCCGACATAGTTAAAATTAATTTTGCTGCTGTTTTTTTTTTTCTCCTTTTTTTTTGCAATTTTAATTAAAGCATTTTGTGGACAGTGAAAGTCGTCAGCCACCCAAAAATTCTCAGCGTTTTTGGCCTCATGAATTGCGGCCAATTGTTGGCATCCGTTGCGTTAAGAATCTGCTAAGTGCAAAGCGGCGTGAGGCTGTTAAATTTAATTAACATTAGCTAACAAAAGGCCGAGCAAATACCAACAACAGCAATAAGAGTTACAACAACAACAACAACAACAACAATGCACAATTTGTGGCAATTTCTTTGGCATTTTTCCACTTGCTTTTTTTTTCGTCTCACTCTCGAGGAAAAAAGCGCAAACTGTGTGGCAAGTTAATTAATTTGGTTAATAATGCGCTGTTTACAGTTATGCCTGCCTGTTATTGTTGTTGTTGTTGTTGTTCCGGTGCTCATTTGTTTTTATTATATTTTATTTTCGTTGCTGTTTCATCAGGTAGTCGTTGCTCTCGCACACTTGACTGGGCCATTTGAATGAGAGGCAGCTAACAGAAACAAAGTTTTTGCCTTTTTGAAGTGAGGTAAGCACTTGAGTGTGCCTGGGCCAGTTCTATAGACAGACAGACAGAGAGAGGGAGGGTGAGAGGGCAAGGGATAGATAGCGTGGCAGACCACGTAACTGAAATGTCCTTCTGCTGTGGCAGAAATTCTTCAGCGTGCATTGACATTGAGGCATTGAAGCTTTTTCGAGTGGCTGTGCCTGAGTTGAATTTAACACCTTCCCGGCATGTAAAGCCCAAAAGCAGACCAGACCAGACAATAGCAAAGCAAACAGAGAGAAAAAAATAAAAAAAAGGAGCCTAGCAACAATGACAACATAGAAGCTGCTGCAGCAGCAACAGTCGTCGCTCAGCGCCCTTTAAGGCTTTGATGACCCAGCGCGGAACGTGACGTGATGTATGTGTGTGTGTGTGTGTGTGTGCGTTGCGAACAGCAATGCGACATTTTTAGTTTGAAATTGATTTTCCCCATGCGACTGACAATGTTGCCAACTATAACAGCAGAGCAACAAGAGGAACAACTGCAGCAGCAGCAGCAGCAACAACAACAACAACAACAACAACGACGTTGACCTTGCTTTAGCTGCATGGCTTGCACACCCGAGGGACTTGGCAATTGCTGGCCATAAATGCGCTAAGCAGCTGCCCATTGTGGACACACACACACACACACTCACACACACATGCACCGAAATGGTCATGAAGCGTTGCGCATTAGAACACAACTTACCAAATATAAACAAAAGACTTAGGCAACGAACTTCTGCGTACTGCTAAACAAAAACAAAAAATGAGTGAGAGAGAGAGAGATGGAGAAAAAAAGCTAAACAATGGCGCGTGCTATGTCTAAAAAAGCCAAAGCCAAAGCCAAAAGCCTGTTTGGCCACAGCCATTGCGTAGCTGGAAACCTGCTCTGATCATGAAAATGCATTTCAGCTCAAGCTTCAGCTTCAGCTCTGCCTCTGCCGCTGCCTCCGCCTCTGCCTCTGCCTTTGCTCTGTTCTCTCTGCTCTCGCAACGCTCTGTTGTTTGTTGTGTCTTTTGTTTAGCGTTGATCTAATAGGCTCATGTGCTTGGCTAACGAAAGTTATTTATGCATGCAACAAGTCTACTTAAGCCTGCATGCGTCATCGGTTGCTGTTCATAATTTATGCCAAAGACTTGCAACAACAATAGTGTGGTTGTTGTTGTTGTTGTTGTTTTCTTTTTTTGTTGGCGTGGGTGTTAATGGCGACTGCAGCGCAAACAGAGCGGCAACAGCAGCACAACAACAACAACAGCAGCAGCAGTCACGCCAGCAAATACTCAGCTGTGGCGTATAGAGTATAGGAAAACAAGCTAAACAACTACGACAAGAACAGCAGCAGCAGCAGCAGCAGCAGCCACATTAACAACAACAACAACAACAGCAACAACTGCTGCTGCTGCTGGCTGCTTGAAAAGGGTCGACGACTTTTGCGCCCGCATTGGCACCCAGCAACGTGCAATGTGCAACGTGCTACATGCAGCTGGCAATGGCCGCTGTGCCGTTGCGAGTGGCATAAACCAAATAAATGGAAATTGTTTAAAGTTTACTTTGGTTTATGGCCTTAGCCATTGCTAACTCTCCCGGCCTGGCTGCCAATGCTAATTGCATTGGAATGTCCACAAATGCAAAGAGATGCTGGTCATTTGCGTGGGCTGAAACGGCAGCAGCTGTTGCTAGTTGCTGGTTGCTGTTAATTATGAGCATTTGCCAACATTGTCAGGCTATACTAAAAATCTAGTACTATTTTTAGCCATAGTCTTGACGGGGCTTTAATTGAGTTTCCTTTGGACCAGAAATTGGCTAAGAATTACGAAAATTTTTGTGTGAGCATTTGAGAGGTAAATAATAGAGATAGATAGAGAAAGATATTTGTTTCGGCTCACTTATATATATTTTGGCAAGGTTTCAGTTATACGCGCTTCAGTTAACTATATTAGTATAATAATATTTATTTTCAATATTTTTGGAAGATCTTTGCATACATTTCCTCCAAGTTATGTTAAATTTTATATTAATATTTATATATTTTAAATTTTGTGTTTTTTTTTTATATTTTATATTATATTTTATGTTTTATATTTTATATTTTATATTTTATATTTTATATTTTATAT